TTCTTCGATCTTTCGCATCTGTCTCATTCCATATATGTCCAAATTATATATAATTTTTACTCAAATTATATATAATTATACTTATATTGTTGCTATAATAAAATTATGGATATGGTAAGAAGCTCATTTTTTTACCCTTGTTTCCGAAGTAGGGGAGGAAAATGAGGGGAGGGAGGGAAAATTAGAGGGGAAGGGAATTGGAGAGAAAATGTTGTTTTATGGGGGAAAGTGAAAGGAATAGTGGGCATGGTAAAGGAAACCGTACCGGACATCATACCGGATTCCTTTCTGGTATGGTATTTTGTGGTACGACCGTGGTTCAACCGTTTTGTACCGGTAAATACCGTTTTTCACTATTGATAGAGAAATGAAATGCGATAGTATAAAAAATATAATCCATCAAAAAAAGAACCAAATAGAGCATTATACAACCACGGTGACCCATTTTCAACATAGAAAAATAGCAAAATAATATTCTTTTTTAATTATTTTCCACATATTGGACGAGAATACGTAGAAATGAAGCTGAATCATAGACCAGGAAACCGGATCGTACCGGCCGGTTCAACCGGTCAAACCGAAAAACCGGCCGCCACGGTAAAATTAGCACAAGCAGCCCACCGTACCGCTTTTGGTCCAATTTCCGGTTGAACCGGCCGGTACGATCCGGTTTCCTGGTCTATGATAGTGGGAGGGGAAAAGTATATAGCGAAGTGTGATAGATATGTTATTTTATTGATTATGTAATAATAAGTATATGCAAAAAATACGAAAATGAATATTATGAATAACCAATTTCTACATAACCATGATCATTTTTATTATTTATTAACGGAACATAAATTGTTCATTTAACTCGATTTTATTTTTTCATACAAATTTGATTACCTTTGTAATACAAGATGACGTCCATTCTATAAAAAAATTAACACTCTGATGTCGTTTTACTTGAAACTTAACACACATTTACGTTCCACGTAATTGTGTAAAATAACGTTTTGTGAATTAACTCGATCTATTGTACAAAATGACATCCATTTTGTAAACATCTTGCATTACTGTCTATATCAACGTTTAATGACAAAATCTAATCGTGATACTTTATGTTCTATACTATATATATGGTTGAGGCTTGCATATGCTAATAACGGTATAGGCCTACTTTCGCACTACAGAGTGCCCATCGAACTTTACTATTGAGATTACGAATTAACCAGAGTTTTAAGCATATGATACTGTACTTTGACCTCTAATGGGTGAACCACAGCTGCTAATACTCTAACTCTGAACAAATTAGTCCTTTTTTTGTTAATAACTCTTTCCAAGTTTTTTTTTTAATGAATGGATGTTAGCTTTATTTCATAAAAACCAGAAAACTATGTGATACCACCCCTTGTCACTAGGGAAAACAACTGTTTTAACATGTAAAAAAATTTATTAACTATGTATATGATAATTAAAGGCTTATTTTGGTTTGACTATTTTATATTACTAATTAATCTAGTTGTTTAATTGTTTTCATGCTAGCAACTAGCAAGTAGCAACTAGAAACAGATTCCATTAATCTAATTTGGTAATGTTGTATGGAAATATGAGGAAGGTGATAGAGCAGCACAATGTCTACATTCATTTAAACTACTTCCCCACTTCTTCTCTCACTCTGTTTCTTCAGTTACTCATTTACTGTACACATTGTTTGGCCTTTCCATAGGAATATGCTCTCTTTGTAAGCCACTATATATGTACACTTATTGTATAATGAAAACTGAGGCTTCTTGTTCACTTTTATGGTATCAGAGCCCAAAGCCTCACGACAATTTAAGATCCTATCTTACATTTTTTTTCCCCGAACCTCTTTACTATGTTTCTTCTTCTTCCTCCTCTGTTTTTCAGCAGCTATGAATGCTCTATCCAGCTAGTAGCCTTTTTGTTGAGCGCTTGGCCCACTTACAACCGTTCCACTTCCACCACCATTAGTCTATCGTCATTGCTCTCCCTCTTCCGCAATGACATAACACAGATTTCCAGATCCTCCTTGTCTCTTTCCTCTGTTTCTTCTTCTTCACTAGCTCTACTTACTCCACTTCCCTACAAGATCAAAACTCCTGTTGCCGCCTGCTGACATTGCACACAACCAGTGATCCTTGTTACAAGCTTCACAGCTTACAGCTTCCCCACTCTCCTCCAATGGTTGCCACCTCTCTAAGTTCTCTAAATCTCACTTTCTTCCCTACTTTCCAATCCCTCTACAGAAGCCTTACCATCCCTTTATTTTCTACTACTTTGTCTTTCCTCTCTCCTGCGCCATGGCGTCTCCCAAGCCGGCCCCCGGCAGTTGGCATCTTTGTGGCATCATGAAGCCCCGTTATCTTTCTCCCAAAATGGCGGAGCTTGTTGGCTCCCCTGTACTCTCCTTTCTTCCTTCTTGTTTCTCAGTATAATATTATTATTTGAAGGAGAAGGTGGTTTTATTTTCGTGAAAAGAATGGATAGACAGCCATTTACCCATTTTTCGTCCGATTTGGGGGGCAGGGAGGAATAATGAGTTTTCCTTCCCTCTTTCCTTCCCCTTTTTCTTTCCTCTATTAAAAAAACAGGGTTAAATGCCTTGATATCTACACTTTCCTCTACCCCTTTTCCCTCCCCTCCTTTTCCTTGTTTAAAAAACAAAGATAATTAATAATTTAACTACATTTATCATGGCATAGCGTGTTTCTCGATTTTTAACGAACAAACCAATGTTTCAAGAATTTTCCCTTTAAAATACATACATGTATGTGTCGATCGACCTGCCCCCAACCCACGCCCCGGTTCAAATTACTCGACAAGAACCCAACCTACTACTGGACGGTTATGAGTATCGAGATACCCGCTGATATGCTCCTTTGCTATTGCTAACCTGCAGTCGTTACTTATGTCGATAAAAATGTCTGCAGACACCTAATGAACAGTCGACACTTCCAAGTTCCAAACAAAAATTCACAAGGATATGTCTCCCAGACAACATAGAGATAACCCATTCGTCAATGGAACATCTTATCTCTTCTTATCTTTCTTTGAATTGTTTCTTCTCTCTTTTCTCACCACCACCGCCATTACATTAGACTCCAGTTTCTGCCGACACTGTGCACGTACGTTGGTTATGTTTCGTCAAACATCAGTTACATTTTTCTATATTTCCGCTTAGAAGTGTAAAACTTTATAACACGAAAAGTAGAGAACGAGACTAATCCACGGGAGCAAGCTCCAGAGAGGGTTTTCACTATGATGCGGCCGAATAGAAATCAAGGCCAAGTTGGGTTACACGACCTAACATGCCAACTGCTATTTAACCTAGGAGATTAGGGTATTAAGCTACCTAATTACAAGATGGTAATCATAATTAAAAGTGATAGCTATATACATCCAAACACTCCCCCTCAAGCTGAGGCATGAAGGTCACAAATGCCCAGCTTGGACAAAAGTGAGTGAAACTGATCAGCACCCAACGCCTTGGTAAAAATGTCCGCCAAATGCGAGGTAGAGCCGATCTTCAAGGGAGCGATTTCACTAGTAACCACCCGCTCCCGAACAAAATGACAATCCATCTCCACGTGCTTAGTACGTTCCTGAAAAACTGGATTGGCAGCGATATGAAGAGCAGCTTGGTTGTCACAATGCAAAGTAGTAGCCACAGGTTGCGGGATGCCAAGCTCGGTGAGAAGAAAACGCAGCCACACAATCTCGCTGACAATACTAGCCATAGCCCTGTATTCCGCCTCTGCAGAAGAATGTGTCACTACACGCTGTTTCTTAGTACGCCAAGAGACTGGAGCGGAACCCAACTGGATATAGTAGCCTGTGGTAGAAAGACGAGTGACGTGGCAACCACCCTAGTCTGTATCACAGTAAGCAGAGAGAACCAAGGAATCACCGGAAGGGAAGTAGAGACCCTGCCAAGGAGAAGTCTTGAGGTATCAAAGAACCCGGTGTGCAGCCGCCATATGATCAGGACGAGGAGCATGAACAAACTGACTTAAGATGTTGACGGCGTAGGTGATGTCAGGTCGAGTGACCGTGAGGTACAGCAAGCGACCCACCAAACGATGGTAAGCGTGAACATCGACTACTTCGTTCGAAGGCTCACCAGGATGTGTGAGGGTATGGTTATGCTCCATGGGAAACCGGCTAGGACGAGCTGTTGTAGAACCTGCATCACTGAGAATGTCAAGGGCATACTTCCGCTGACTGAGAACCACACCAGCAGGTGACCGTGCGACTTCAATGCCAAGAAAATACTTCAGTGGACCCAAATCTTTGATTCTGAAGCGGTCGTGAAGGAAAGCCTTGACGCGAGTAATGAACTCCACGTCGTTACCCGTGAGAACCACATCATCGACGTAGATAAGGGCTGCAACAAAGGAATTACCATGGAGATAAAGTAACAATGAGGGGTCTGCCCGCGAGGGAACAAATCCCAACTCACCAAGTGCTGTAGTGAACTTGTTAAACCAATTCTGGGAAGCCTGTCGGAGGCCGTAAAGAGACTTGCGCAGGCGACAAACACGAGTGTCCCCCGGGGCTTCCAAACTCAAAGGAACCTTCATATAGACCTCCTCTTGAAGGTCACCATGGAGGAAGGCGTTCTTTACGTCCAACTGATGAAGTGGCCAACCCTTACTGACAACAATAGCGATGAGTACACGAACGGTGACCAGTTTAGCTACAGGAGCGAAGATATCATGAAAGTCAACTCCTTCGACTTGAGTAAAGCCTTTGGAAACTAACCGAGCCATCGGGGTGGTACTTAATCTTATAAACCCACTTCGAATCGATAGCACGTTTACCAGGTGGAAAAAACTCCAAAGTCCACGTCCCATTAGCCTCCAACGCCATGATTTCTTTAATCATTGCCTCTCGCCAGCAGGCATATATAGCTATCACTTTTAATCATTGCCTCTCGCCAGCAGGCATATATAGCTATCTTGTAATTAGGTAGCTTAATACCCTAATCTCCTAGGTTAAATAGCAGCTGAGAACGCACAATGAGAATATGAGCAACGATGATAGCTTACATGGTTGGAGATAGGATGGGTGAGCGCAGGCGAGGAAGAAGAGCTGGGTAACTCGACATAATATATGGCGAGCTTGGCAGGCAGCCTACGATCTCGATCACTACGGCGGAGAACTGGTGGCGGGGGCGGTGTAGACACGGGGTCCAGAACTGGGGGCGGAAAATCGTGGTGAGGGCTCTGAGAAGCCGCAAGACTGGGGAGCATGGGTTCGTCAGAGACGAGAGGTGTGCCTTTCATGGGAGAATTGTAGACGTCAAAGACGGTAGCAAGGTCTTCTTCCGACGCCGCCCATTCCGCGACCAAAGGATCAAGCTCCCCCTCAAAGGATGTCACCGAAGGTGGACCAGGACCCATGAAAGGTGTAGACCCCGACGTTTGGAAAGGAAATTCAGCCTCCACGAAATGAACGTGACGAGAAGTATAAATCATCCGGAGATGGAGATCATAAACGCGGTACCCCTTCTGTGAGAGAGGGTAGCCGACAAATACACACCGTCGTCCGCGCTTGGCAAATTTATCCAACCCAGCCTGAGTGTCTTTTGCATAAACTAAGCAACCAAAAGCCCGGAAATGGGAGTAGGAGGGCACGCGACCCAACAAAACCTCGTACGGTGTTTTATTGCCAATAACAGATGAGGGAAGGAGATTAATCAGATATGTGCAGTCAAGACACACTCACCCCAAAAACGAACCTGGAGACCGGCCTGAAAACAGAGAGCACGGGCTGTGTCAAGAAGATGGCGATGCTTCCGTTCCACAATACCATTTTGCTGCGGCGTGTTAACACACAATGTCTGCAGAATAATCCCTTGTTCAGCATAGTAGGTACATAAGGTTGCAGTCTGGAATTCTATCCCATTATCGGCCTATATCTGTCGTACCTTCCTATCAAACTGAGTAACCACCATCTGACAAAAAGCAAGAATATATTTCTCAACGTCGGACTTGTACTTGAGTAAATTGACCCAGGTAGCCTGGCTAAAATCATCCACCACGATTAAGAAAAACCGCGAACCATCGAGAGAAGGGGTCTTATAACCACCCCAAATATCCACGTGAATTAATTCGAAACAACCATGAATAGTAATCAAACTGGAAGGGAAAACAATACGAGTTTGCTTAGATCTCCAACATGGATCACAATGAGTTCGAGCAAAAGAAAACTTGGTGAAACTAAGAGCATCACGTAATAGAGAGAGTTTCTCAAAAGATGGATGCCCAAGGCGATGTTGCCAAAGAATAGGGTCGTCATGCCCAACTACAGCAAACGCATCACGGCCACGGTCCTCCAAAGTAGTACCCACGCTGCCTCGATCCAAGTAGTACAGACCATCATGGAGTCTCCCCATCCCAATCACTGTCCTGGAACGTGATTCATGGATAACGCAAACACCAGCCAAGAACAACAAAGCGATATCATGGTCCTGAGTAAGCCGACTAACAGAGAGCAAGTTGCATTTAAAATCAGGGACATGGAGAACACGATGTAGAGTGAGCCGATCAGTCAAGCGAACTGTCCCCACCCCTTCAACAGGCACACACCGCCCTTAGGTATGCGTACATGCGAGTAATTACCACTACGTTCAACCCGATCAAGCCAACTACCATCCCTAACAATATGCTCATTGCATCCTGAATCAATAAGCCATTCGTTAAGGTCAGAATGATTACCGACCATGTGAGCTGTTGGATCAGGGGAATCTAGGACTGGAGAACTGAAAAAATTCTTCAAGTGCGCGAACTAAGTCGTCGAAACCCAGGAATGGGTCTGCTCTCATTTTCAACGTGGGCTGCCCTAGGCGGAGCATCACCAGGTGAATCACATCTTTCACCTTGTTTCACTTTCTTCGAGTCTGAAGTAGGGAAATCGTGCAAACGATAGCACATGTCCTTGGTGTGGCCGAGTTTGCGGTAGTGGCTACAGCGTACTGGCTCAAGAGAATCAGCAGCCTTCTCGTCTTTGACTTGGAAGGCGGCAGAGTCTACCGCAGGTGATAATTGTCGAAAACATATTGATTTTGCGTGCTTAACGTGATTATTTCATGATATGTTTGAGACTTATAATACTTGTTTGAGGTCCAACTAAGCCTGGAATGGTTATAAAACCATTACCATCAAGTGCCAAATGTTTTATATATTTCAGGTAAATGAAACGAGAAATTTGCATTGGTGGATAGAATAATTCAAGTGGACTGGATGTGCATTGGACCGGAACTTACTGAGAAGTTGAACCGGGACTTGACTTTTGTGGGCTGGGACTCTCTTTGGACCTGGGCGAATGAAAGCAATTTTTGGGCCAGGAAATTCAGTTTGGACGGAAGAAGATTGGCGGCAGCTATTATTATTTTGGACGGGCCATTTTGAGGAATTCTCTCTGGGAACGAATTCTTTTGGGGCCATGGAATTAATTGGCCCAAAAGGAAAAGGAAAAAGGAAGTCTGGGACGGAAGCAAAAGGAGGTGGATTTGGAGCGGAACGGAGGAGAAAAGAAAAGTGGGGAGAGGGCGGAATTCTGAAAAAAATAAAAGGCAGGAGGCGGCCATTATTCGGGAGAAGGGGGCGAATTCTTTGGAAGGGCAGCGCAGCTTGGGACGCGAGCAGGCGATTGTGAAATTGGCGATCAGATTTCCAAGGCTACCTGAGCTGAGTTCAACGAGAGCGATTAGTTGGTTTGATTTTCTAAACCTAATTAGTTGTTTCTTGTTGATTTAGAACATGATGAACAAAACCCTATCGATTTATCTTAATTTCGTCATGAACTAAACCCCAATTTCTGGGGGAAACACCATAGGATGTAGCTATTTCTTGATTTGATGGATTGATTCATGATTCTTTTCTTCCAATCTCTATTGCATGAAATTTCTTAATGCTTTGTGTTGACTGGCCACCAATACAACGATTTGTAGTTAATTAGGTTATTAGCGACAGTGAAACCCTAATAACTGAACATATTTCATGTGACATAGTAACTTATCGAAGCGACAGTGGATTAAATAAGGTACTATGCAGTCTTAATTGGGATATCGGTCTTCAGGCTAAATAATTAAGTCATTGAGCTACGACAGTAGGATTTGAATTGATTATTTAGTACGTAGTAATTCCCGACAGGGATAGCTAGCACATTCGTGATATCCTGGCTGTAGAGGTATGGATTAAATTGATTGGAATAGGTGAATTAATCTGGATAGGATAGGTAGTGAATCCCGGTGTTTCTCCCAGAGCTTTCTCCCATTGATTTTCTCCCGACAGTTTTCATTTAGTTAATTTGTTTATTTTATTTTGCTTTTAGAAATTAGTCTCATTAAACTATTTTCACTTATAGTTTGCTCATAAATTTGATAGAATATAAGGTTGTACCAGTCCCTGAGAGACGATACCCGGACTTTCCGGTTTTACTACAAGATAGGAATTGAAGCTATACGCTTTTGACCTATCAGCAGGTCGGCGGCCAGCAGTAAGCTGCTGCTCGTCTCCAGCAACGAGCTGATACGCCTCCGCAAGAGAAAGCAACAGTTTGGTGTTGAGGACTTGGGAGCGGACGACGGCAAAAGCATCGTCCAGTCTGAGAAGGAAATCGAAGAGGCGCTCGGACTCCAGCTTTGCACGCACCTGTCTTGCTACGTCACACGAGCACCTGCCACATCTGCAATGAGGAGTGGCGCTGACGGCCTGGGATATTTCATGCCGAAGGCCGCTAATGAGTCTACACAGCTCGTAGGCTCGAGTCGCCGACCCTGCGTTGAATCGCTGGCGTAGATCAAGCCAGATTCCGCGAAATGTCGAAACACCACGCACCCTACTCCTGATTTCTTTCGTCATCGCCGTCTTGAGCCAGCCTTTAACCATCGCATCACAGCGATCCCAAGAGTCGAGACGAACTAGATCAGTGGCGGTTGGCCGAGGTAGAGTCTCGTTGACGAAAGCAATTTTGTTCTTCGCAAGGAGAGTCTCCTTCATGTCACTAACCCATTCATTATAGTTCAGATCGGTTAGAACATCACCACCAAACAATTGACCCGAATTTTCAGAAGGGTGAAGAAAGAGAGGCGAACTGAGGGGAATCACGTCGGCACCATTAGTAGCGGCAGCCTTGCCATCAGCCGAAGTGCCATCCTTGTCGCCCATGATTGCAGTAGCGAAAGTCGTAGTAAAATCAAGCGATCACTGCTCTGATACCATGTAAAACTTGGTAACGTGGAAAGTAGAGAACACGAGATTTACATGGTATCCTCGTTCTTAACTGAACGAGACTAATCCACGGGAGCAAGCTCCAGAGAGGGGTTTTCACTATGATGCGGCCGAATAGAAATCAAGGCCAAGTTGAGTTACACGGCTTAACAAGCTAGCTGCTATTTAACCTAGGAGATTAGGGTATTAAGCTACCTAATTACAAGATGGTACTCATAATTAAAAGTGATAGCTATATACATCCCAACAAGAAGAGATAGCTATCTCTTCTCTGCAGCCTATGTAGTAGAACTAACCCTATCTGTATAGCCACATGATAATGTTGGGAAATATTAGTGTCTTTTCTTTTATTATTTACGTTGTAAAGGTCAACAATGGCGATCTCTAGCTTGCGTTTCGATATATACAGTGTGAATAACCTTTTCCTTGTCTCTTTCATACTGTTAGAAAAAGAGTGACGAGGGTATTTGTACGAAAGCCCGAGACCGGGTGACTAGGATTGTGATAGAGTCGTGAACGAAGTTCACTTTCCGTAAAGAATATTTCCACCCTCCGAAAGCCTAGAGTTACAGGAAATTTCTTCGTAGGATAAAACTACCACCACTTTAGAATCTAGGCTTAAGAAACTAAAGCACACTTAGAAGCTTTTGATGGAAGAAGAATGAATATTTTTTGGTCTATCTTTTTCTGTCCCCTCCCGCCAACCGAGTCCCTCCATTTATAGGTAACGAAGCATTGTATTCCATCAAGCAAAACCATGCGTCGTTTCATAAACAATGCATTATCCATATCAACCACCCTTTTATCAAGGGAAGCGTTGCTTAAGGAAGCAACCACCAATATTTAGAGGGACGCATTGCTTAGGGAAAAAAGGAGGGGATGTGACTTCTCTGTTCATTCAAACTTCCACAATTAATCACGTGAACCAATTCTGAAAGGTTGCACTAATTTAATTAATCATGTAGAGACAAATTGAAGTTGGTTAATTCAAATTAAATGGAAGGTTGGCTTGGTTCATGAACAGACTCACCTGTTCAATTATTAACCAATTCTTTCCATGTAATTAGTGCAAACATTTGAATACTACTCTACCTATCTAGAAGGGAGTTGATAAAGGTCGTCCTAACAATTACTAATGATCGTCCTAAAAAACAACAAAGTTACACTTTTAACCTTTTGACATCTTTACCTTTCCTTTAGCAAACAAACACCACATTCACTTAGAAAACAAAAAACACTCATTCTCCCACACTCTCGAATTCATCATCGACATTTGGAAGCCGAAATCGTCGAGCATACGTCCGAACAATGAGTAGCGACTCCGACGAGGTAAAAATCTCGTTTTTAAAAAAAAAAAAAAACAAAACCCAACCGAATGTGATTTTCGGTTGGTCCATGGTCCAACCGAAATTCGGTTTCGGTTGAACCATGGACCAACCGAAAATCACATTCGGTTGAGCCATGGATGAACCGAAAATCTGCTACGTTTGTGCCATGGGTGAAACGAAAATTTTTTTCGGTTGGTCCACGGTGGCACCAAACCTTTATTTCGGTTTGGCCATGGTGAAACCGAAAATTTGGTTAGGTTTAGCCATGGTTGAACCAAAAATTTGCTTCTATTGGTGGTTTTTGGGTTTTTTTAAGTTTATATCAAATATTTCTATTTTATTGTTATCATTTATAGTTTGGTCTATAAGATTGTTTATTGAATTTTAGTTTATATTATTTTTAAAATTTATGAGCCTAATTATTTGTGAAATTGATTGTTTTTGTATACAAAATTAAGATTAGATGCATAATACGCAAAAAAAAATATTATAGAATGTGATTAATATGATTCTTACATTAGATGTATAGTATGTAAATAACAGAGAATGCTAAATTTTGTCGTGTTAAATGTTGGATTTTGCTTAGGATAATATAGAGAATGCTAAATTATTTGTGATAATTATTAAATTAAATGTAGTCGTTAGATTTTCTATTATTGTGGAGTCCTACTTATATCATGAGATCTAACATTGTAGGATATTGATGATTACGGAGGGGATGGCAAAGATTACACCTCAGAATTCGTCAATGGAGTAAAATACGATACAGATTTGATTGCATATGCAGCAGCTACTGAGATTGCCAAGGGTTTTGGGTTTTATTTGGTGAAGGCATCAAATAAAAAAAATCCAAGTGAAGATAGTAGGCGACGATACTTGAAGTGCACTCATGGTAGGAAGAAAAATTCGAAGGATCCTGATTCTGATCCGGCTAAGGAAAGGAGGCCTCTTACTTCTTCTGGAAAGTTGGGGTGTGAATTTCAGATCAAGATTGAGCGGTCAGATGATGGATATTGGTTGATACTAGCAGTGGCTAATAGAAAGAATCCTGGTGCTAATTTGGATTTTCACAATCATCCGCTGGAGCTATTTCCGAATGGATCAAGTAAGAGGAATGTTTTGACCGAAGATGATAAGCAATACATCAGACAACTGAGATTAGCCGGTGTCGCCCCAAGGAATATCCACAAGGCAGTGAACGAGAGAAAAGGGGAGCATGGAAAGGTGAACAAAAGACAGATTTCTAACGCATTGTATAAGATAAGAAAAGAAGAGCTTGGTCAGAGGACGGCCTTACAGTACACTTTTCAAGATGCTCTGGAGAAGGGTTACTATGTGCAGTATGTGGATGACCGTAACGTGCTTACACACTTGTTCCTAGCCCACCCTGAGTCAATATTGATGTTGCGATCTTGGCACCATGTCATTGTGATAGATGCAACATACAAGACCAACAAGTATGAGTTTCCATGGGTTGAGATTTTTGGCATGACACCGGTGGGATTGAACTTTGTCATTGCATCTGCGCTAGTGTATGACGAGACAAAAGAGTCGTACCAGTGGCTTCTCACGCATCTGCAACATTTGCTTGGCCCTATCACTCCAGATGTATTTGTTAGTGACAAAGCAGGAGGATTGGTTGAGACCGTGGGGGTAATGTTTCCATCATCGACTCATATACTATGCCTTTGGCATGTAGACAGGAATGTGAGAGCACGGTGTCTAACGGAGGTGAGGAGGACGTCTCATTGTGGGATAGATGCAGCCCAACCGACAGTGGATCTGATCATGGCGTCTTGGAAAAGGATTGTATATGCCGGCAGTGAGGAAGGCATGAATAGAGCTTTAGACAGTTTCAGGCGTAGTTGGGGAGTACAGTATCCACGTCTTTGGAGGTACTTGTCAGATGAGTGGTTACCAAACAAGCACATGTGGGCAACATGTTATACAAACCAAGTGCGACATTTGGGTAATACAAGCTCAAATCGGGTTGAATCTGCTCATTCATCCTTCAAGAAGTGGCTTCAATCAGCAACTGGTGCAATCGACACGGTTAGTCTCTTAATAAATTTTCATTTATGTCTTCTTTAGAAGTTTTACTTAATCTAGTATCCTAATTTTCTTTCTTTGTTTGTAGGTTTATAAGAAGAACCATGATTATATTGAGGCTCAACATCTTCAAATCCAAAAGCTTCTAGAGGATTCTAGATTAAAGAAGATGTTACTAGCTGACGGAAGACCATTTCGGGAGTTGCATACAAACGTCACTCTACAGGCTATGAGGTTGATGCTCATTGAGGTATCAGTGGAAGGAGCAAGTTGTACATGTACGTTTCCTGCTACCTTTGGTCTCCCATGTAGATGTGCAATGCAGTTAGCACGTTCTGAAAAGAGGGACATTGCCCCATCTGAGGTGTTAGCTTTTTGGACCATTATGAACTATCGTGAACCTCCTACTCGGGCAGAGTGGGATGACGATAGTCTTTACCATCGTGATGTCTTCCAAGGTCTAGTACAGGAGGTTCTTGATAGGGGATATGAGACCATTCGAGGGGCTATTGGCCTACCTCTTGTATTAATTCATTGTGTTGTGTATTTTGGGACAGATGGTGCCCATTGGAGGGTTATCAGAACTCCCAATACTGGTTGGCGGAGTTACCCATGGTTGTATTGTTTGGAAACATACGTGCAACCATACATTCGTGGTTGGTTCAACCCAGAACCGGATGGACATTGCGGATTTCGAGCAATATCACAAGCACTTACCGGGTCCCAAAACAATTGGTTGCAGATGAGACGCGAGGTTGTAGAAGAGCTTGAAGCCCGACCTGAGCTTTACAGACCATACTATGATGGAATTGCCGACGGAATAGATAATGGGCTTCGGCGTTGCAGGTGGACTCAAAATCGTGGTTGTGGCGTTACCCACTGGATGGATAATGTGGATCTTTTCGTCTTTGCCACATTGCATTCATGGGTAATTGCTGTCTATAGTCAAGGCGGTCGTTATACCGTGCTACCTGTGATTGCCCCACCAGGAGTAACAAGACCACGTGGGATCGTATCACTACATTTTACGGGATGTCATTGGGTGCGTCTTGACTTTCGACCTGGTCAAGTGCCATTGCCTCCGATTAATGGGCTTTGGCCTATTTATCACGATCCTAGTGTCCATGGTTGGGACCAATTCTTCTCACAAGAACGCCAATTTTATGATAGATTAAACCCAGCCGGTTGATGGTTAGATGTAGTTGTAGTTATTGTATTTGATGCAACTCTTGATTTACTATTTTAGAAATGCAAAAGAAACAAAGTCCAATCATCTGAAAATTCCAAAAGTTAGATCATCTCACGGGCAAAGACAAACTAGCAATTCCAAATAAAAATAAACAAACTAGCAATTCCAAATAAAAATAAAGTACAAGGATAACAATCTAGAAATGCCACACTCCACTAAGGAGTCTTTCCGACTAACTGTTCATACAACTCGCGAGCCTCACTCATCATATCGTAGTACTCAGATGCATGCTCCACATAGTGATCCTTGTCCTTCACCTCCAACACAGGACCAAGCTTCTCCACAATCTGCTTCCTCAACTGTAAATACACAAAATAATGTCAGGAATGGAAAAAAAAGCATATTAACAATACATTAAAAATTGAACAATTATGACATAACTAACCTCATCGACTAGCACTGGCCGCTGTAGAGACACTCCACTAGAGTCCGGATTGATGATCCGTGGGTGCGATCGAGTCCGGTACCAGTCCATGTAATCCTCATCGGCCTCAGATGGATACTCGCACAAGTCAGAATCAATCGCTATGTGTAGAAAATGAGACGGCAAGTTGCCCCATAACTGATCCATGCTACCCTCCCAGAAAACGATGTAGGTGCTGCAAGAAGCTGGGCGGTACACATCCTTGGGAACCATCATCATACGGGGGATAGTCTGTCGGTACCCAAACTGTCGGCGACACCGTGCAGGATCATAACCCTCAGCAACGTCAGCAAAGCGAATGACACCAGTATACAAAGAGCGTAGTACCTCCGTGCCAGCATCTCGCCCGTAAGGAGTCCAAGACACATCCTCCCCTGACATTTCATCCAACATCTGTCGATACCGTACCAAGCGCTGTCTAGCATCATCACCACCTGCAAAGCGGTGACACACCCACGAGGAAGCACGCGGAGCATCTGGAGCCTGGAGAATCTGGCTCGGACGGAAGAGTGGAAAGTACTCATATATCCACGCCTGAAGCAGAGTCAAACAACCACAAATACTCTTACTCCCCACTCGTGTGGCCATCCCTAGCTGTCTGTAGAGATAGGCGAGTGCAGCAGCTCCCCAGGCGTAACCGGCCACTCGTCGCTGGTCCTTCAGAAATACATTGATCGCAGGACGGAGGCGATCGCGACTCTTATCCACAAAAAGTGTGGATCCCAACAACACAAACAAGTAAGTCTGCACCTCCAAGTCCATAATCTTCATTTCTCGTCCACGCACCAACAATCCCTCTGCGTGAATACCACCATTAAGGAACCACTTCGACTTCCACTTACCACCAACAGGACCATCCACCGGGACCCGAACTAGATCATGCATGTCTAACTTAAGAACATCTGGATCCGGATCATCTCTCATCAGCTCCCCCTCAACTGGAATACGAAGAATGTGATGCACGTCGTGGAGAAGAATCGACATCTCTCTAAATGGCATATGGAAGGTGTTCGTGTCCGGCTGCCATCTCTCCACAAATGCCGTTATCAAAGCTGTATCTAAATGCTGCATCATACAGCCTGCCAAGTGGGACAATCCTGTGCCCTCAACCACCTTCTGAGAACCCTCTGAACTCCACTCATACCTCCTCAAAGACTCCACAGTACCAGATCTATGACAACAATCCAACAACCCACGATCCTGTGCTGGGGAAGTCCACAGTGCAAAGGCAATGTGACCTCCAAAGCTAGGGATCACATCGGGAATCACAGGTCCACCTGAACACATCTGAGACTCCGATGTCAGACGCCATGACATGTCCCCCCTTACTCCCTTCTTCCTCTTCTTACCATCACCGTCTTCCTCACTACTACGTCTCGCAACGTAGCGTCCATCTAGCCAGGGACGGAGCCAGGAAATTAAATAAGGGGGGGCCGGTAAATTTTTTTGAAAACAAATATTATGATATCTATTGTTCCACACAAATTATCAAAATATTGACACATAAAGCTTATTTTGACCTAGTAGAAGACCTTTGGCATATTGTATAGTTAAAAAATATGTTACTGCTAATTAAAAATGAAAAGATTGAACTCAGTTCCTAATGGAAAATGGTGAAAAAAGAACTATAATGCCTATGCAAAAGCAAATTAACTTGCAAAAATTCAGAAAATTTAGGTTAAAATGAAAAAAATACCATCTCAAATCTGAAATTTGTTACCAATTTTAAAACAATGGGCAAAAGATATACCAAATGGGAATGTTTGGTACCATATCGTAAGGCGTAGGAATTTGGGGATGAGAAGTATGGTACCAATTGTAAGATAATGGGCAAAAGTTGTAACAAATGAAAAAAATCTCGTAAGACATGAAAATTTTGGGGCAAAGATGTACCAAAAGAAAAGTTTTGGTACCAAATCGTAATGCATGCAAAATTTGGGGTTAAGAATCAAAACATGATGAATTAAAACGTTGCTGCCAACAACCATCGAACCTCCGACCTCATATCTAAAATAAAAACTACATGCCACTACACTACAGCTTCAGTTATATAGCTTAGTTGCTACCATTTTTTCTAATAATTTAGGGGAGGCCATGGCCCCCCCCTACTTACACTCTAGCTCCGTCCCTGCATCTAGCCCACGCTGTGGAAAGTGCGAAGAAGCTGTAGAAGATGTCCCAACTCGTCTCTTCTTACCGATGCCTACATCAGATTCAGGTGGGGCATCCCCAACCTCATCAACAGTCACATCATCATCATCGTCGTCGTCGTCCATAGAAACCGAATCACTCCAATTAGCCTCCCACGGCGTCGCATCCTCAGGAGTAGGGGTGGAGGTAGTACTTCGACTAAGAGATAACTGTCCCATAGTAGGGCGACCGTCGGGACGCACTATTTCCGCCTTCTTCTTCTTCCCCTTAACCTTACGTGGATTTTTTTCTTCATTTTCTTTTCTACCGGTCGCTGTAAGTCTACAAGCACGACCTTCCATTCTTCCTTCCGTTTTTTCTTCCATTCTTTTCTTATTCATGTACGGTTTGCCTATTCCATGTCCAGACATCTTCAAAAAAAAAATAAGATTTACAATTAATGATAATCAAATGCATTAACATTTTCTGATAATTTTCTCTAATTTTTTTTGTAGTTTTTTGATAATTTATTAACATTAATTACAACTTTCTTAGTGATTTCTTCTAATTTCGGCTACTTTTTAATTTTCCTATTATTTCTAATATGTTTTTTAAATTAATTACAAATTTACAGATTATATTTCTGAATTTTAATACTCTTTAAAATTTTCAAATAATTTTTAATAATTTTTTATACATTATTCACAATATTTTTTTCATAATTGAATTCATAAAACTATTCGAATATAATTTTTATAATTAATTATAAACTGTACAACTTATTTATAATTAACTACAATTTATTTCTTATTTCTTAATTTAGAATATTTAATAACAATTTTTATTAATTAATTGCATTAAAATTATTTAAATACAAAACCAACCGAAAATTGACCAAGGTTTGACCATGGGTCAACCGAAAGTTGACTTCGGTTTGACCATGGCTAAACCGAAAACTGACTTCGGTTTGACCGAAGGCCAACCGAACGTTGACCTCGGTTTGACCGAGGGCCAACCGAACGGCGGCTTCGGTCGTCGAAGGGAGGGCGTCGAAGGGAGGAGGGAGCTGACCTTCTCCGGCGAGTGGGGTTTGACGGCGCTGTTGGCGAAGACGGCGACTGCTGGCGCTGTTGGCAACGATGGCGACGGCGAGTGGGGTGCGGCGGGACGAGGTGGACTGACGGCGCGCGACTCCCCTCCGACGGCGTGGGTTGCGGCGGCGGACTACGCTGCGGACTGACGCGACTCCAGCAGCGTGGGTTGCCGCGGCGGACGGCTCCGGCGAGGTGGGTTGCGGCGGCTGCTCTGCTGCCTGCGGCGGCTTCCTTTTGTCGGGGGAGAGTTGTCTGTCGGGGGAGAGGAAGTGGGGGAAGGGGTTGTTTGTTTAGGGTTTGTTTTTGAATTTTAGAAAGGGTAATTCAGTAAATTACGTATTAAGTTAGGACGACAGTTAGTAATTCTTAGGACGACCTTTAACCCTTCAGATCTAGAACTGCCGATGCGATATGTCATTGTCTGGAAGAAGATCCGAACCTATAGCAGTAGATGGACTTAGTTTCCTTTGGTCATAAGAAATTACAACACCAATCCCTTGATCATAGGTGTTGTAATATACTTTGGCGCTTTTAATGCCTTTGGTAGTGGTTTCGCATGGTTTTCGCGGGTCTTGTGATGATCGAACAAATGTACAAATATATGAGATTGAACGAAAAATAGATTCTAATATGTTAGTTGCATTTTGATCGTTAATTGTTTAATTAGATCCTGGAGCGAATTATCAAGTACAATCTATCTAAATTACACGAGAAATCGCGGTAATATGTTTGGAATTGGGTTAAGTAAAGAAATCAAAACTCTGAAAACCATAGAAAGTAAATGATATGGTTAATCAGATAAATTTCGGGAAAAACTCAACCTAGCTAGACCATACTTGTTGAAATGTTATTATCTTTTTTGTTTTGTTTCAACAAAAGGGGTCCCATATTTTCGGTGCCCTCAATAATCAATATCGCACAAAAATTGTTGGATGATAATGAAGTGTTTAGTAGCTAAACTGCATCTCTGCATGTAGTCGCAAAATGTCGCCCTCCACATTACTCATTTGACTTAGTTTCTGCACAGGGCACCAACTCGAATTAAAAAAGCCTTTTGAGAAGGATTATAAAATATAAACCCTTTAATTCTGGCTGCGGAGGAAGTTAGAGTGGGCGCAGAACTAACCAAGGTTTGTTTTGCTTTGCACTATTTTAATTAATAGAGAGGTATTAATTAACAAATCAAGCAAGATACATGCTAATCCGCGTTTAATATGTAGTTATTAATTACTATATCTGGTAGGATTATTCATAATTTTTCAAAGCTTCGAACTCATCGATTAGCACTACATAAAATTGATTTAAATAAGTGTTGGCAAATTACGGTCAACGTGTACGTAGGTTGACTTTTCTTAACTTGCATTATGATAAAGAAGAGGGGCAAAAACTAACCCTGCTTTCCTTTTTTCCCCTTGCCCTCCCTCCACACACACGAACTCATGTATACAAGTGGTGTTGATTGTTGACTTAGATTGAGCTATTTTCACGTATATAATTTGGCTTTTCTACGAACTCTCATAAATATCATCTATTGATCGATCAATGTTTTCCACGTACTCTTATAAATTGTATGAAAAAAATAAAAATAAATCATATACGTGAACAATTTGTAACGTTGTATGAATGGCAGAATATGAATATCCCATTGTGGGTGCCTTTTCTTTCTACGACGGATATCGATAATCCACGCTATTACTAATGTATTTGGAGAAATTGAACAGGTTACAACAAGTTAGAAAGACGAGAAATTTTACAATGCTATATAGTATTGGTGCTATAAGTTTTTGTCTTTATGGTACAACTTAAAATTGTACATTTACGTTATGGTACAACTTCATATTGTACCTATACTTTTGGTACAAATTCTTTTATAGTACAACTTGAACTTGTACCTTTATGTGATGGTACAACTTCAAGTTGTAAAGTTGTACCATAACATAATGATACAAATTGTTTTATGGTACAACATAAACTTATACATTTAATGTTATGGTACAACTTTAAGTTGTACATTAAATCACCAATGCTATATAGCATAGTAGAAGTGCTCTAGAAAGACTAAAAATGAATGTAATTGCTGAAATTGTTGAGACGACAATCAAAACCATCGTACAAAATTACAAATAAATTGCATGGATAGAAATGGACTGATTCGAAAACTAAAAATAATTAATTAAACGGCAAAACAATATATAGCAGAACCACATTCCATATCACATTATGCTGTGCATGATCCGTACCTCACACCATGCGGCCGGAAGGGTAATTAATTATATTCGTAATCTAATCTAAAATAATAACCCTTAGTCGGACATGTTTAATTATATTTAGATTAGGCCGCCGGCCAGATTGATTATGAAGGAATAAAGTCAACCGGCAGGGCCATTAAAAAAAAAAAAAAAACACAACCGGCAGTGAAGCCGGACCGATATATGCTAACGCCGGCCGTGGCAAAGTCCAATCCCGCTGCGGCTGCCGGCAGCGCCATTGCCCATTGATCATCCAGATATATAACTACCTAAGCATCACCATAAAACATCAGACAACGAATTAGAAAAACATCATTGGACGACATCTCAAAGTGCCAAAATGGACAACTATAAATCGTTAAATCGCCCATAACAAAACTTTATGGAGCATTCCCTGTGTGAACCCAACATAACCAATAGACCCACCCACCCTATCGAACTTGACAGTAAAAAGGTAATAATTGATTATACCGTCGTTGTCAACGACGAAATGAGGTTTAAAACGAGTGACATACAAGTGAAGAAAAAAAGTTAATTCCGATTTCCAAACACGAAAAATTTAGTAAACCGAGTGACCAAACATCTAATTTAAACTCAATCGAAATCATAACTTTAATTTCCGGCGATACAATTTCAGAAAGCGAGAAAAAAAAAAACTGCAAACGAGCCGAGTGGAGCAGATAGTGACGGCGGACGGCCGGCCATCTCAGTCCAGCAAACCCATCTCCTTAGTTAGCATCCACGCGGCTGTTTATCCGCTCCTTTCCAGCCTTCCAACCAACTCACAAAATTGGGGGGAAAGATTAAACTAAAAAATGTCGTCGCCATGACTCCAAAAGTCCAATGCTCCCCCGCCATTTCTTTAATAACTCTCTGTATTTTCCTTCCTCCATCGCCATCCAACCGTTTTTACTACGCCACTCTCTGCCTATATATAATCCCTTCTTCCCCTACCAAACCCTCATCAAATCCCACTGCAAAATCATCTCTTTCCCCTGCTTAAATCACTCACAAAAACAGAGAGACAAAAATCCCCTGTTTTTCAAACACAATTTCTCTTTTCGTTCCATTAGACATGGCTCGTGCTTCTGGTATTGCGTTGATCCTATTGGCTGTTATCTCCGCTTCGTTTCTTTCCAACACGGAGGCGAGGAAGCTGATGGCGACGAGCGGCGGCGGTGGAGCAATAAGCTTGCAAGCTCTGTTCCAGAGCTTGCTTCTCAGTGCCCTTCCGAAGGGCACTTCTCCGAGCAAGAAGGGTGAGTCGACGACGACGTTTGATAATGTGGAGAAGTTCCAGAGGCATCTTGTTCGTATGGATAGGATCCTGGGCTCTGTTCCCAGCCCCGGCGTCGGACATTAATTAATTACCTCCCCTTTCACTCTGTTTTGGTTTTGCTTTTTATACAGTAGGAAACAGAGTACTTGAACATTGGCGATTTTTGTTTGATTCCTAGGCAGTAAACTGTATAGACACACTGAAATCTCTTCTTCTTTTCTGGGTTTTCTTTGTTTTCGGTTCTTTTATGCTCGATTTGTACTTGTATTGCGTCATCACAACTCTGGGGATTGTATCTGTTATCATCAACTCCCCCTTTATACGAAAGAGAAATATATCATTATACATCACAGAATCTTTATTCGCGTAACGCATTCCCATCCAATTGGAGGCTTTGTGTGAAATCCCCAGAGGCCGGCAGGATTCGAGCTTTGCTTTTTTCGAATTACCTTTAATTTTATGATCACAGATGAATAGAAGGCAGAGTTCGGTTACACATTTCCATATAAATAATATCGCTTTCTACCTGCTCCATTCTAAGGTAGTTGATTGGCAGTTCGATAATTCAAGGGGAACTTATTCCTGAAAAAGCCATTGTTGCTGCCACCAATTCATTCTTCTATAGGCTTCTGTTTGAGAAGGGTCTTTGGCAATTTGATGTACTCGACAGAGTGTGTAGGAAAAATTGGATCGAAATACTCACAAACTCTTTTTATTTCTTTACCTTCCCACAATTCACAATTGTTCAAACTCTCCCTTCTTTCTTTCTTATTTGTTTTGTGTGGGATGAAGAAACCATATAGAAACAATGACTATTTATAGCCAAGTTCCAACACTAAATTGTGGCCTATACTTTGCCAAACTTAACTACCACTTCACACCTACTTAACCCCACAAATATATAGGAAAAAATCTCAAAGTATACTTTGCCAAGTTCCAACACTAAGTGACCTTTTGAATATGTCTTTAGGGAAAGTAATTTTGCAGCCGATTACTTAGCTAGTGTTGGGCATAAGTTTCCTTTCGGCACACATTCATTCGATGTGTGCGACCAGAAACTTTGCTATTGGCTCTCTTATGATGTAATGGGTATCTCCCATGATCGTTTAATCTATATGAATTAGGATGCTTCGCATCCACTTTCTACCAAAAAAAAAAATTCCCAAAATACATAAGTTATAAAAAAAATTCCAAAGTACACATGTTTCACATTCATCGTTTTTTGACAAACGCAGTGAATACAATCACCGCGTTAGACAAACACGGTGAACATTTCATCGTTTTAAATTAAAACGATGACGCATTCACCGTCTTTTACTAAAACAGTGAACAATTCACCGCGTTTAACCAAAACGATGAAGACATCACCGTGTTATTTAAAAACGGTGAGCAAATACCACTATTTGTACTTTTGGATCTTCCAAATCATTCCCGCAGGAGATCCGGACCCATTTTTTTCTGATCCTTCGATAAAAAGATTCATTCTCTTCATAAAAAATAGGAGGTAGAACCCATAGAGATTTCTTTTTGGATTCATCCCTGGAGTTGAATACCTCATTCAAGATTTTTTTTTTATCCAATCCGTAGGAATCAATAAAAAAAGGCAAATCCCTTATGATACACCGGTCATTTGTTTAATATTTTAATATATAGTTAATTATTATTAATATATTAATTCTATAAAATATAAAATAAACAGAAATATATTACGATATTTCTATAATTCTAGAAAATTCATAAGTTTTATTTATTATACTTTTGAATAGAAAATATTCACACAAAAAAAGATTTCGAATTTTTATGTCACCGTTTTAGGGCAAGGCGGGGAACATCTTCACCGCCCTAGGTTACGACGGTGATTGTTTCCCACGTTTCCAACACCTGGTAGGTGAAAATTAGGTCACAACACCTAATGTTCACCGTTTGAGACAAACGCGGTGATATTGTTCACCGTTTGAGACAAAGGCGATGAATGCTGGCCGATTTTCCTATAAATACCACTCCCACCAGCAGTTGTAAAAACGTAACCCCTCTCCCTCTTCAAATTTCAGCAACCAAAACTGAGCAACATACACAGAACATGAATTTTCGATATGATTTAATTTTCATATTGTAGCCTAATGATGTTTTTAGTAGTTATATTGTTATGTTGTGAATTACTTATCGTAGCAAATATGTTCTGTTAGTTGGGGAATTTATGTTGTTGTTAGTTAGTTGAATTTAGGTTAAATACACTTGTATATCCAAAACTTTCACGGTTGTGCCAATAATATCCAAATTTCCCAAAATACCACTTATATCCAATTCCTTCACATTCTTTAACGGTGTTTTTGGATATACAAGTGTATTTAACCAAAAATATTTTGGGAAATGGATAGATTTGGCAAAGAACAACTTTAAAACATGGATATAAGTGGTATTCCGGGAAATTTGGATATTATTGGCACAACCGTGAAATTTTTGGATATACAAGTGTATTTAACCTTGAATTTATGTTATGTTAGTTATGAAATGGAGTAATATTAGTCGTACAATATGGTTTTGGTTAATTTTACTGGAATTAAGCTAATAGTTACTTATTGTAAATTGTAGATATGGATAAATTCAAGAAGTTTCAGCTTATTATTCAGTGGAATGAAAGGGTGACAAACTCTGACATAGGGATTGATTATGAGAACGGTGAATCCACTATGCTGAAAATTGAGTCGCGATTCAATTTTCAAGAACTCTGTGATATTTGTGCAGACAGGGTTTGTACGAGCGGACAGACGAGACTTGGTAATGCGCTCAATGCGGGGCACAATGCGCTCACCATCACGGAATGATGGGCGTGCCGGGGCAGGAACGAGAGGATAGGCCACGACATCCCTCCTTTGCTCTCAGGTACAACTAAGGAGGTTGTTCATAAGCCTTCGCAACCAAGAAGTCTTGCGCTCATCCATGGTTGGAGCACTATCAAGGGTGTGCTTGGCGTGTTCCAAACCATCAACCTAAGCAATCCACGTAATAAATCAAAATTAATTAAACCTTAAAACAAAATAATTAGACTACGAGGGAGATTAGGATGACTTACCAACGAACCCATCACAGCACCTTGCTTTGATACCCATCTAAGCGTAAACTTCCGATACCACTGCATGTACTCATCATGATAACCCATAAGTCTCGTCTCCGGCATCCCTTGGACCACCCAATTCCCTCTATTCTCCCAAATGTTGATGTAGAATTGATGCTTTAGAAGCCAATTCTTTGTCGCGTGTCGGAGGTCGATGGCATGGAGCTCCCTGAAACCTTGAGGCGGGGGTTTGTGGAATTGGTTGCTCCAATCGATATTGCCTCAAGGATCGATCGTGTAGGTGCCACTCCACGATGCGCCAGCAGATCAATGGCACATTGCACAACCACGTCTCGTGATCCTGGGGGTGTCTCAGATGATGCAGCTCGACTACTTCACGTGGATATGGGTCCCATGTAACCTATACTCATTCATAATTTGCAATTAGCGACCATTTAAATTGAAAAAATTTAAATTGTTAAAATATGATAAAGCATGATTACCTGGTTCCACCAAGGCTTATCTAACTCAGAACGATAAAACAGTAAAGAGTGCTCAGGTTGATTATCGTTTGTATTTGCTCCTATCCACCTTGTAAGTAAAAGCATTGAATAAATTTAAATTTGGGCTAAGTATGAAATAAATGTAATTTAAATCTAGCCAAAAAGCATGGAATAAATTAGCAATTAGGCTAAGTACGTAATAGGTATTAATTTAAATCTAGCTAAGCAAGGAATAAATTTGCAATTAAGCTAAGTACGAAATATATGTAATTTAAATCTACCTAACCATTGAATAAATTTAAATATAGCTAAGTACGAAATAAACTTACTTGGCACCATAGGGAGATTTTGCACAAACCGTAGCTCATCATCTGCTCTCCAGTATGGACGTGGGTCTTGAGGTGCGAACATTGGAAGATGCTCCCATACCCAGAGCTGGAGGATGAACATCGCCGCACCATCTTGTCTCACTCCCACCTTCGAGCAAGTACAGAGCTCCCTATATATGCCAGCTAACACGGCCGATCCCCAACTCTTTTCCCCGATTACGTCCCAGTCACCAGTGAGCAATGACAATCATATGCCTTGAATCCACCTGTTTGACTTGTCGGGGAACAGAAATCCACCCACCAAACCAATGAGGTAGATGCGTGCATAGCGCTCCACTTGATCTTCCGGAGTCTCGTCATTGATTTGCACCTCATTTTCGATGTGAGTTACGAGCCACGGGATCGACACTTGTCCTGCATTCAACAGTGGATGCCCGCATCCTTGAATTGGTGTGGTGGTCGGCATGTCAAATCCCAATTCAGCAAGAATGAGCGGCCTCCAACCTCCTTCGGGTTTGGTAGTGGTACCAATGATGGCCTCTCCAGAAATCGGCAGCCCGGTGAGGATCGCGACATCTTCGAGGGTGATCGTCATTTCCCCCTCCAGAAGGTGGAACGTATGGGTTTCGGGGCGCCATCCCTCCGACATTGCCATAAGCAGATCGTTGTCGATTTCAATCCGCATGAAATGTCTCAGCATACCCAACTCGGTCCTCTCTATATACGGCGCCAACCGATCATGCCAAGCGGGAAGGTTTCCCCCTTTATGAATGACGGGAATAAGTGATTCCTACAAAAATATAGGGAAAACGTCAATTTGTTAGTTAAAATAAAGCAAAATAAAACCTTATAAAATAATAAAATAAAGCAAAATAAATAATCAATTTACCGGATTGTTGTCCCAAATTACACGGGAGGTATGTGCTTCTTGATCGGTTAAATACTTCGTATTTCTTGGCCCATAATGGATATATAATCGAGGACCGTATATCTCGGCACCCATCTATAAAAAAAGTAATGAAATCAGATTGTTTTGATTAAAAAAATCACAAAATCAAATTGTTTCGATTAAAAAAATCACAAAAGAAAAACCAAGAACCTACCCGAAGAGTCTCTTCGTCCATTTTTTGGCGGAAGCCGGACAGAGGTTCGACGGGTTTATAAGGGACGGGGGCTTTAGGGTATAACTCTAGTAATTCTTTCTGATGTGGAAGATCAGACTTAGCCACAACCACAGAGCATGCTTAGAACGAGACTAGAGTGGATGGATGGAGGGATAAAGAAGTGTAAATATGGTGGAGTGATTTGGAGGTGGGGGGGGGGGGGGGGGATGGTTCTATTTATAGGGGAGGGAAGGTTGTGCGTTAAAACACAAACTGCGCCATCACCGACTTTGACAAAAGTGGAAGATCGGACTTAGCCGCAACCATAGAGCATACTTAGAACGAGACTAGAGTGGATGGATGGAGGGATAAAGAAGTGTAAATGTGGTGGTGTTATTTGGAAGTGAGAAGGGGGGGGGGGGGGGGGGGGGGGGATGGTTCTATTTATAGGGGAGGGAAGGTTGTGCGTTAAAACACAAACTTCGCCATCACCGACTTTGACAAAGATGGTGAATAAACCGCCTTTATCAAATACGGTGAAGGGCGCGGATAGAGCCGACGTGGGACGCTGTGAGCCGTCGGATCTGGTAAGAAAAGAAAAATCCGCCTCACCGCATCCAACGACAACAGTGAGCGGCTCCGCGACGCAGATCGTTTGTCTAACGCGGTGAATGCACCGCGTTTGTCCACATCAGCGATCCGCGTCGCTTTCATCGTGACTGATCGATACGGTGAATTTTTCACCGCGTTTGATTAAAACGGTGATGTCTTCACCTTTTTCCTTTAAGGCGGTGAATGGTAAGCTCATTATTCATTGTTTTAGTTAAAGACGGTGAATGCATCATCGTTTTAATTTAAAACGGTGAAATGTTCACCGTGTTTGTCTAACGCGGTAATTGTATTCACTGCGTTTGTCAAAAACGGCGAATGTGAAACATGTGTACTTTGGGAAAAAAATTTATAACTTATGTATTTTGGGAAATTTTTTTAAGAACTAGTGTACTTTGGGATTTTTTCCATCTTGATTCTGATCAACTCACTCAACCGAAGTTGTCCACCATCAGTCTCGACTCTGCCATATATGGCATCAATGTAGATATAGCTATTGATTGAGGGCACATAATGTAGCTGGGTTTACTGAAAACAGAGTTTGGGAAAATTTTGATAATGAATCTAATATCTAACATTAACATGCCCTTGTTTGAACAGCTCTCGAAAGAATGTGATACCATATCATAAATCAGCTGGTTCGAATAATTTGAATTGTTAGAAGAGCACACATATACTTAAGCATGTCTAACCTGACTCATAACCCCCATCACTTCATGCATGTGGGCTTCATCCATGTTGTATATTTGCGTGGTTTCATGCAAATTAGTAAAGAAGAAAAGCGGAGCAGCTAGCATGAGCAAGATATATGAATAAGAAAAGGGGTAGTGGGAGGGAGACGCCTTTGGCATAGGGATGGCAACCCTGGCCTCCCCGCCGGGTACCCACCCGAAATCCGACCCAACGGGGGTCTCAATAACCGGCCGCACTGGGTAATTGCTAGATTCGGGCATACCCAAAACCCGTCAGAAGCAAGTTACGGATGAGGATGGATCGAGAAGTATCATCCCCGTCCCCGTCCGTCCACAAAACGATGTCGTTTTGGCACCTGGGTATAAAGGCCGAAGAAATACCCAGAAATCCTAATCCCTCATTTCCT